ATTCATTGTGATAGGTCAACTGGACTAGAGTAAGAACTACCTAACATTTTGGTAATGCACAGTTGTGGGTTGGTCTGTGGATGACTGACATGTAGTCCAGCAAATTGAGGGGAAAGACCCACCCTAGATGGAGGTTCGCACCAACCAACAGGGTTGTAGCCTGGAGAGTGTAAAAAAGGAGAAAGAAGAAGAAAGTGTGCCCATTTTGAGAGCTCCAGTCTTGGGTGGGTATGTCCCTTGCTTCATCGTCTTTGGCCATCATTGTCCAGGTCTCCAGTTTCTTCAGCCTTCCAACATAGACTCACACCAGTGACTCTCCAGTGATCTTCCAGGCCTTTGACCTTGGACTGATGCTGCATCCTTGATCCCTCTTGTCCTGTGGCTTCCATCATCTTAAATTGCACAGCTACTAGATCATAGCTACTAGATCCTCCAGCTCTCCAGTGCACAGAGAGCCATCATAGACTCTCCCACCTCTGATTCCACAAGCTTACCTAATAAATCCCTTTGCAAATTATACATGTATTTCTATTGATTATGTTCCTCTAGAAAAACCCCAAAAAAGTATGATACATGAATAGATTTTCAGAATATACCTGTTTTTACTTAACATTTGGCATCTCCCTCCCTCAGACTCTAGACATTAACAGTTAACTGTGGCAGGAAAGGGCACAACAGTCCAAACTGTGGTCTGGACTGAACTAGTTCCACAAGGACTAGACACAATATTCGAACCTCACTCCAGCGGAAAGAGCTGCAAAGAGGCCTGGGGTTGAGGTAGGACTCACATGGTCTGAAGACATTTTTTTCATCCCCTCAGGTATTTGTCAATGGGGAGGGGTGAAATGGGAGGTGCAAGACAATAAGGTGGAGAATCATAATGGATAAAGTGGAAAGCAGAGGGTCTTAACAGGATCAGAGCCCTTGGGAGCGTGGGATCAGGACACTGGCCTGGACGTGTGGATTGGGGCACGGCAAAGGGAAGTGAGAAGAACAAGCCAGAGACCTAGGCCAAATACGGGATGGCAGCAGGAGCGGGTGACCGAGACAGGGACTCTGGGACCACAGAGACATGGGAGTTATCAGACTGGGGCAACAGAGCAGAGTTAGATGAGTAAAAATGATCCGGAGAAGTGTGATTAGGGCTGCTTACATCTCCCTTGTCTTTGGTCTCAGAGGATTGACTTTGAAAGCTGGAAGCAGGGCTGTGTTTGTGGGGATCAAGTGGCACCAGGTGGGGGAATGAGAAGGCGGTGGGGTATGCAAGATGAGGACCTGGCTGCCTGAAAAACTGAAATCTTTCCGAGAGGGACACAGGGAGAGAGGGACACAGGGAAAGAGGGACACAGGGAGAGAGAGAGGGAGAGGGAGAGGGAGAGGGAGGGAGAGAGAGAGACAGAGAGAGAGAGAGATATGAGTTGGTCTCAGTCTTTCAGAGGAAGCTGAATCCATTCAAGACTCCATGCTAGAGAAAACCATGACCACCCAGAAACTTGGAGCTGGTCAGTTATACAAACATCCAGTTATAAAACTTTGCCTTATATCCCTCCTTCTCCTGATACTCACATAGCCTAATCATAAGCTCTACTTTCCTGGCTTCTTCAATTAAGTAGGTTAAAAAATAACTTTGAATGTCTATACAGTGTCATCCACTGTGGCTATAAAGCCAAATCCCTGGAAAGCCCCACTTTTCCCTCTAGCCATTGCCTTCTCTTTCCCTCTGTGGACACTGGTCTTCTCCCCACTGGCAGCCAGATGACTGCCCAGTCACTGAAAGGGCTCTTGCTGCTGCTGAGGAAACCCAGATGAACTTTCAGTTCACTTCTCCCATCAAAGCCCTCTGCAATGAAGGCTCCTCTCCTCTTCCAAACATTGGCTGGGAGGAGAATTTGGGAAGCTTGCAGACAGAAGAAGGAAAAGATCGAAAGTGTCCTCTGTCATACTGTGTCAAAAAATAAGAAACAAACAGGAAAAAAGGACGTATGGTCTATATTATACATATAGGCTCTCTTATGAATCAGTGTTTCTTGATTCTAACCGCTTTTGCTTTTCATTTAGTGTTGGCCACGTGTCTCTTCTGAAGCAGCAGTCTACATTCACAGCACAATTCCAAGCAAACCAGATACGCTCAGTAAATGCAGATCATTCAGAATTAGACTCTTAAATCCAAATCTCAGCTCTGCATTCTGATACCTGTTTGACTGTGCCCTTCTCCTCAGAACCAAAGCGCCTAGCCATAATGTTCTCAAAAAAATTAAGTAAGAGAACATAAATGAAAAATGCTTTGTCTAATTCTGGCAGGATCATAGCAAATTCTTTTCTTCTTTTTGTTTCCTCCACAGGAATCTTTACTAGAGTGGGTACAATGATTAAAACACTCAATTGAAAAGGACAACTAAATGTGACACACACACACTCCTGCCTTTATCATAGTCAGAAAGTAGTGTATTGGGAGAAAATTGTTTTTCTTTATACCTTCAAAAATATTGTAATTAATTAAGCTAGTTATGGTCAACTTTTCATAGGAGAAAGTAATATTTATTGCTCCATTATTCAGCTACTTAAATGAGAGCATTATTACTCATAATATTATCATATAACAGCAATTAACCTGTCAGATTGTATGCACAAGGGCTACAGATGGCTGGCCTGCCCCTTGTGAGTTTCTATTCTGATGGACAAATGAGCCAACAGTGATCAGATTATCACCCACATGCCCAGGAAACGAGCCAGATGAGGCAGCCCAGGCAGGTGGTGGCAGCAGGATGCTTTGGTCCTGAGCCTTGGTCCACCAGTTAGCATGATCTGGACCTCACCAAGCCCCATGCCTCTCCTCTGGAGTGTGGCTGTGATTACTTACTTTGAAAATATCCACCCCCTTAATAATCTATGAACCAAGAACATGTCTCTTGCACACCAATGCATCTCCAGGCCTGTTGCTAAGCACAGTGGGGACTCAATAGTTGTTTGTAGAGTAGATTATTGAACTAGCTTGAATCCCTGGACAATTTTCTTTACTGTCCTGTACCTCACTTTCTTCTAAAATAAGGGGGTTAATGATCTCTTGGGGCCCCTGACCTTTGTCATCCTTCATGCCTATGCTTGCATTCTCTCAGGCCTTTATCACACTTGATTTTGCACATCTCCTGCTGGGATTCCTGCCCACTCCATGCTGTCAGAGCTGTTTCTAGCATGGTGATCTCACCCTGTTGCTGTTTTGCTGAAACTTTCCCAACTCGAACTTCACTTGGCCAAAGGCCAAACTCCTGAGCCTGGCATAGGAGGCCCTCAGCTCTGGCCTCTGAGAGCCATCATTTGTCCACTGACTTCCCTCACATGGCACTCCTCACCCTTGAAACATCCTGAACTACTTACAATGCTGTACATGTCCCTGTTGACCTTTATTGTTGTAGAAAATGAGCACCTTTACAAGGCTGTCTTGGAAAGTAAATAAGAAAGGTGGAAAAGGAAGAAATTCTAAGTTACCTACTTAGATATGCATTGCATTATATGGTAGGATTGCAGATGGTAAGACTGATGGAGCCTGAGTTTATAAGTCAGTCACCTCAGGCTTCTATAACAAAATATTATAGCCTGGGCAGCTAAAACAATAGACACTAATTTCTTAGTTCTGGAGTCCGGGAAGTCCCAGGCCAAGGTTCTGGTAGCTTTGGTATCTGATAAGAACTTACTTCTGCGATGGTAGACAGCTATATACTTGCTGTGTGCTCTCATGGGGAAGAGAGAAAGGCAGAGATGGGGAGGGAGAGAAAAGGAAAGAGGGAGACGGAGAGCAAGCACATGTTCAGACACTCTCTGGTGTCTTTTTACAACCTCAGCATGGTTTATTCTAACCCTAATTACCTCCCATGGCCCTGTCTCCATATACCATCACACTGGGGGTTGGAATTCGCCACATGAATTGAGCCAGGGGACATAATTCAGTTTACAGCACTAAGCAAAGAGACAATGGTGGACAATGGTCCTTTGACCATGTACCCAGCATCTGGCTCCAGTGCAGAACAGTGGTAGTAGGAATTTAATGTCAGAACAAGGTACCAAGCACATAAAAAATGATATTTTGTTTGGGTAGAAATGGGAGAAATGGAAATCCAAGAGTTAGAAAATTAGGAGGGAGAGATAGATAAAAGCCAGCTCACTGAGGGAGTTTAGTAGTTACCATAATTAAGTAAATAGGTAAATAAATAAGTAAATTTATTTTATCTCATCAGTGAAGAGGATCATGAAAAAACAGGTTCAACTGTCACAGGGGTGGCTGTTGGCTTTAACAGCTATAAAAATGTTTGTCCTAATGATCTCACTTTTGGGAATTCCTCCTAAGAAAATAATTTGAAGGTCAGGAGAGATGTATGTACAAAATTATTTACAGTAATAAACTTGGGAATAACTCATAGAAGAATAGTTAAGTAATTATAATTATTAAACAAAGGTTTATTGAATAACAAATAAGCACTTTTGAATATGAAGCACCAGTTAAAAACAGTGAAGTCCAGGGTTAAAAAAAAAAAAAGAAAAATCTTTAATGTACATAAAATAAACAAAATAAAATTACAACTACATATTCCTACGACTATATAATACAGTGACAAAAGATAGACAAAACTAGAAGTAAATATCGATTAAAATGACAACAGATAATTTATCAGAGTGCTGAAATCATGTGCCATCCATGATATGATGTTTAAAAGACCTTGCCACTTTAAAAAATTAAAAACAACCAGTTCTATAAAAGGCAATCTGGCAGCCTGTCTGCAGCTACAACCTCGCTAAGCAGACTTTGTTTATAGATAGCCTGAATAAATACTTGGCTTTCAGTCCCACAAGTGAACTGATAGAATATCTGGGGTCAGTATAGCAGAAAGAAGTATTTGCTTTATAACAGAGCATAGAACAATGGAAACTGGGGGAAGCACGGCAGAGGTGGAAGAGGGTCGGAACTGTTAAATGAACTGCATGCTTCGGGCCAAGGCATCCCTTACCTCCTGAGTGTGGAATGAGAAGCAGAGCCCTGGCGTGTAAATAAGCCAGAGGGATCACAGTGAGATGATGGCTGAGCAGAACTGGGCTTACTCTCACTTGCAGCACATACTGAAAAGAAAGAGAGCTAGGTATTTAGCAACAGTAATGATATTGCTGAATTTTGCTCTCATCTAACAAGTTTGCTGAAGGTTAAGCATGGGATGCCAGATCCACAGGGGACAAAGGTTAGAAGGGACAGGTGATCAAGTCAAAGTCATGCAGGGAACATAAACACAGGCTTCAGAGCCATACAAGGTGTCAAACTCCAGAGCGTGCAGGGTCTAGCTGTGTGTTAATCATGCATTCCCTCCAAGTAATGAGTTTGTGTCGTGAGCAAGTCACTCAACCTTGCCCACTAGCATCAATTCTCTCCACTCTAAAATGGATCGTGGGTTTTGGATATGGGCATCTGTGGGTTTTGCTGCCCATTGTCCACTCCTTTCACCATTCTTCATAAGTGCAGCCCCAGGGAACCATCTACTCACCATTCTTGGTCCTATGCTCCATGTAGGCCCTGGCCAATCGGCACCTAGCAGTTACCAGGACACAGGTATTGAGTCAGGAGGAAGGTAGGTTGCTGCTTCTGTCTTAGTCACCAGGTCCAGGTTGAAAGGAAGGCCAGGGGCTTTGGCAGAGCTAAGAGATGGGAAATGAAGAGCTCAGGTCTTGGAGACATGTAAGTCCTAGAATCAAGTTATGCCTGAAGCCAGACCTCCCTACTTTTTAGCTCTTGAGCTACTACATTCCTCATTTATGCTCATGTGTTTATTTGGCTTAAGCTAATTTGTGCACCATTTTTGCTTAAGACAGTTGGATTTAACTTCACTTACAACAAAACTCCTTATGGAATGTAGGAACAAGTGCCAAATGTAGCAACATGGATGTGGAAGGTCTTTAACAAATAATGGCTTCCATCTTTTCTCTTCCTCATTGTTTCCATCTCTTCTTTCTCTTCTTCACCAAGTTTCTTCCTTCCTTGAGGGTGTCTTCCCTCTAGTCCTCTTTTCCTAGAAGCACAAAGGTATGAAGCACTCTCCTTCTCCTGGACTCTGAGCTCTGCCCTGAATCCTTGTCCCTGGTGTGCACTTCTTTGAAACCAGGTCATGTTTATGAGGAGACCTCACCTCTGTAATATCCAGGTGGTAGGACAAGGTGTTCTATGATCATGTCTATTTCCCAAATGAGGGAACAAAAATTCAGGAACATGAAATAACTTGGACAGTTACTTGGTAAGTCTGGGAACAGGGACACAAACACAGGGAAGTCCCAGTCCCAATGCCATCTCTCTCTCTCTAGCATGGCACTGTTTTCTCCATTTAAATGAAGATGCTCATATGTGGTAGATCCTGTGGTCCTCTACCCTGAACGCCTCTTCATAGCCTATGTCCCGGCCCCAGATGCTAGGCACCTTGCTAGCTGGTGTCAGAGCTGGAGCTTCACTGCGAACTGCTGTCAGTGACAGGCACTGTCCTCCCTGAAGCTATGCTCCTTCCTCAGGGGTAGCCCATGCTGCATAACTGGCCTCCTTCCTTCAATTTTGGACAAGTGAAGGACCAACGCTGCTCAGAGCTCCCTGTAGGGTCCTAAGAAGTTTCCATGACTGAGAGAGATCTAGACAGAGGGGCGCTCTATCTCAAACAGTGCTGTTTCTGTACAAGATGTGCATCTATACTACAGTGTGGGATCCAGTAGATCTGGAGGCACAAAGTCTCTGTGGAGGTAAGGATGCTATGTGGAGGGTTTGGGATGGCTGAGACTTCAGTTACAACCACATCTCAGGTCAGCTTCTCCCTCCATGCATTTCTGCCTTGCTTGCTTCTGCAAAGGTGTATCTTCTGATTGCACTTGCATAAACTTTCTGTGATCAACTCTTTGATTCAGAATCTATTTGCAAGGGTTCCTATCTAAAGCAATAGGTGTGAGAAGTGGTCCTGGGAAGCTAAAGAGGGATTTCAGAGATATGCTATTCACTGGGTGGCTGGTAGTGAGCATCCTGTTACTAGTAGTGAGTGGAGTACTATACGTGTCATAGACAGTGACCTTAACAAAAATGCCAGGGGTCCTCTTCTCCTACTTCAGAAAGGCATTGAACCTCAAAAATTCTAGTATTTGCAATATCAAACTTTTATACTGAAGTTATTAACTTGCCAATCCAATCTTGACATCCCCTAGTAGGTGAACTCTTTGGTGGGAGAGAGATGGTGGTACAGAAGGACTTGTGGTTTGGTATATGACCACAGAACGAGATTACTCCCTTTCAGAGAAAAATCAAGAAACAAATGACAGAGTCTAAGAAAATCTACAGTTAAATTCATACCTATAACTGAACTTTAGAAGAGTATCCCATGTATTATAAACAACATGAAGGGTATTTGCTCAGGTCAATGAATACCCCCAGTGCAGTCTGCCATTACGGCCCATCGAAGCCACCAGCATCTCTCTATATGACCCAGGTCATTTCCACTTTGGGCCCCTCTCAACCCAATCAGAGAACTGTCTTAAAAATGGAAATCAGATAATGCTGATATCAATTGAAAAATTTCTAATACTTTGTTTCCCATGAGCTGATTTCATCTCTACTTTCACTTCTGTCTTGCTACTACATGTCTCTTTCATGCTGTCCTCATGAGGCTCTTCTTGGAAAAGGTCAAGTTTATTACTACCTGGGAGATTTTTTTTGCTGTTCCTTCTCCTTAGATGCTCTTCCTTTAAATGCTGGAAGTGTCAGCTCAGCTCTCACCTCCTTAAAGATAGACATTTGACCTCCCTCCCTAAAACCTATTTTTCCCCATAACTCTCTATTTCCTTGTCCTAATTTTTTCAGCACTCATTAATTGATTTACTCGTATATTTATGTAGCTACTTAAACCTCATTTGCTAGAATATAAGCTCAAGTGAAGGGATTTTGATAGACTTGTTATGTCCTTGAGCCTAGACAAGGCCCTGGCACACAGAAGTTGCCTCCACAATTCCATAAATGCATCAGTGAATGATCTTTGTACCAGCCATACAAGTCTGGTATAACCCAGCTGCGTGACCAAGGAAACTAGTGCTTGGGAGGTCCAGCAGCTTGTCTAAGCTGAACAGGTAGCTGTTAACCCTCCTTAGAATTTCTAGGATTCCCTAAATCTATTTGTTTCAATTAAATTATATCTGAACTGGGCCGGGGATGTAGGCAAGTGCAAGGTGCTGAGTTTGATCCCTGGTACCACAAAACAAATCTATGTATTAGGCCAGGGATTTAGCTCAGTGGTTCCACCGCCTGCCTTGAAAGTGCAAGGTGCTGAGAATGATCCTCTGCACCAAAAAAAATATATAGATATATATCGATATATATATATATATAGATATATAACTGGACTAAGAGTTAAGAAATTGGGCTTCTCATCTTGGGCATTTGGAAAATTTCTTGTATGACCTTGGGTAAACTGGAAAATGTGAGTTGCTAATTTTATTCTTCATGCAAATAAAAACAAAGAGTTTCTGTAAAATCTTCATGATCCTTATAGCATCATCATTACTTCAATGTAATTCACACTTTGAAATTAATCATTGTAATATTTGCTGTCTGGGGACAAAGAATGCACAAGAGAGTAGTGCAGATGTAGAGTGCTCACCAGTCTTTTTTTTTTTGGTACTGGGGATCCAACTCGGGTCTTTTTCCTTGCAGGGCAGGCAGAGGAACCACTGAGCTAAATCCCCGGCCCACACATCAGTCTTTGTTTCTCCTGGCAGAGGACCAGGTAATGCTGCTGTTCGCTAGGCAGTGCTGCCCCATCCTTGCTAGGTCTCTCATCTTGGCTAAAATACTTGGGTCCTCTAAACTTCAAATCTTTGTCTAGACCTTAAGTGGGATAATGTACATAAGGCAGACTATCACTGTCAAGGTACAGATAACTGAGCTATGATGGTTGTAAACTTTGATGACTGCTGTATGTAGTTGCTATACTGGATATGCTGCTTTATTAGGGAAATACAGTAAATATACATTCTGTGTGTTTTTAAATCTGGAAAATAAATTAGATAAATGTGTCACCTTGCACAGGCCTATTAGAGGCAATAGGAATCCAAGCTTGAAAGCATCTCACTGACACAACAAAGCCCTGCCCTCCATGGATATTCCAAGAGTATTCAAATACATCTAATCTGCATCTTTTTATTCGGGTGCCCTTGAAAAAAAAGTATGTCACTTTGTATGCATTTAAATAAATAGTACTGTGCTAGAAATCTGACTCTGTTTTTACTTTTTATCACTCTGCACCATGCTGATCACTCCATGTTCCAAGTTGGATGCTCATCTGCTGCTTCAAATGCTGCATGGTATGACAAGATCCATCACATGTTTCCTGTCCCTCTGCGATGTCTCTGGTTAGGGGAGATGTGGGGAGCTCCAGCACTGCTATAGGAGGGCCAGCTGGCACAGCCACCCTGGAGAAAAGTCAGACGGGACACTTGGTCACACGCCAGTCTCACATCGTATGATGTGGGTATGGGTCATGGAGAAATTTCCTTACTGCAGTGTTTAGGAAATCCAAGAGCTGAAGATAGGCAGCAGTGTGCTGGAACCAGGATGCACAGCTCATGAGGGCAAACTGTGACATTCTCAGGGATTTGGTAAGCTGGATTCTGTATTCTACATTACTTAAAATCAAATTATATCAACTTACAATTAAATAATATATATATTAAAAACAAAGGTAATAAATACACAAAACACACTGCTTTCTAATGATTTAGTCAGTAGATTTACTATTAACCAGCTCCTGGGCCCAGAGACCCCCGGAACCTAGAGGGTGGGAACAATGGATGGTGATCACTATTCCCTGGGTCTGTTCACAGAAGTCCTGTTGGTAGCCTGAAGTAGGCCATGGTGGGAATAATTACACCACAGAAACCAGCAGGCCCTACAAATCATGGCTTTTTGCTAACCCTGAGAGCTAATTGTTAAACATTTACCAGCTCACTAGAGACTGGTATTAACTCTCCTTTACAAACGAGAAAACAGCTCAGACAGCTTAAGATACTTGCCAAGAATCACACAACTTGTGACCAGTGGAAACTGGATTCAGACCCAGGGCTCTCCCAGACTGTGTACTTTACTTTGATAAAAATTAGAAGTGAGTTATCATGTTGAAACTACAAAATTCTCCATACCTTACCACCAACATTGATTACACTTACAGTTTTTGTTTTTTTAAAACAACTCCATTGGCTGCGAGCAACTGAGTATGGTGTAAAATTAAGAAACAGCCTAGTTTTAGCAACATCTGCTGACCTACTGAGCTTCATTAACTCCTCGTGGGAGAGGTCCGTCCTCAACCCCAGGTGCTGCTGCTTACAGTGCATATGAAAAATAAATGAGCTCAGCTTTCAAGTTAGTGTTGTGAGGTTATGTAAACTAATCATTAAACACGACAGCTAGGATATTTTAGCTACTGTTTAACTCAGAAAGATGTATTAATAAATAATGCTATTTGCAGACTGGAGGCTCTGACACTGTATCTGATCACAACCTCTTTGTTTATATAAAAGTTGTTTCCTAAATTTTACTTGAAATGGGGCTACATTTTCTTCTTATTGTCAAAAATCTTTTTTCTCACTTAGTCCTTCAATTAGTCACATAAACATTTTAATGATGATCACAACATAAGACCCGAGTTTGGCAAAATTACTTCTAATGTGACTTAGTTCAAATATTTTATGCATCAAATGCTTTCTAAAATATGAATGTTAATTAACTTGATTGTTGTAATCATTTCACAATGTCATGCATCTCAAAACATGATGTTGCATACCTTAAATATATATGATTTTGTCAACTGTGCTTAATGAAAGAAATTGATAAAAATGATAACTTTATATCATTTTATCGGTTCTTAATCTCCTAGTCCACTATGTGGTCATTTGCAAAAGTGAACTGAAATGAAGGCATATAGATATGGAACTATGGGATTTCCTAGGCCAACATTTTCTGGAAAGAATTTTTAATAAGGAAAATTTCAACTGTTTACAAAAGTAGAGAAATAGTATAGCAATTGTCTGTGTGATACTACCAAGCATCCACCATCATTAACCCATGGCTACTCATGATTCATCCAAATCGCCACCCATACCTGCTGCCTCCACAATCCCAGGGCATTTCATGTGTTCAATTTATTGCTGATATCCTAAGTGGATACTCTATTCATCTCCTCTGATCTACAAGAGCATTCATGGTCTATATAACCACTTTATGGTCCCTGCCACTATCCATTTTGTAAATCAAACCATTTAGTCTTCCAGCAATCCCACGAGGCAGAACACTACTATGTTACAGATGAAGGAGCTGAAACCCAGAGGTTACACAGAGCTGGGATTCACACCCGAGCAACCAGGCTTTTGGCCACCACACCACAGTCACCATGTTTATGATTTTGAAATGTCAAGCTCCTTCACTTCTTTCATTTCTTCTTTCCCCCTCAAGTATTCCTGATAAAGTTTACACAAATCTGAGAACTGAGTTCCTTCTAGGGTACACCATTAAAATGACACATTTAAAAATATTCCAAACAAGATTGTAACTTTTCAAATCTACTTATCCAAGTTTATGCTAACTAAATCATGTATGTAAATTATTATGACAGTTAACTAATAGAGCACCTAGCTGAGATGCAGGTACACACTAATTTCCCCATTGGCTCTAATAACCACATGAAGTAGGTGGGTCAGGCACCATTAACCAGAGTGACCAATGAATAATGTAACATACAAAAAGGTCGTATTTCCTCAGCTATGCTGGACATAAATGACAATACACCCCAACCTGCTGACTCCTGAACTTGGGTTCTTTCTTTTGAAAAATAGGATCTTTTTTTCCTCTAGCTAGAAAGGAAGAGCAATGGAGTGAGGTCAAAAAACAAAAGCTTCTTACTGCAATGTTAGATGGAATAGTAGATGTTGACCGATAAAAAAAATTACATTCACTCAGGTGTAGAAAGAAGAGCAGTTGGCAGCTGACAGCACATCAGATTTCACAGGTGGCTGTGGGTGTCCGGAAAGCAGCACTGTTCAGCCCTGTCTAGCCCAGGACAGTCACCATGTCTGATCCGAGAATGCAGGGGCAGAGGGCCATGTTCACTTGCACAGATTCTCACCCACATCCTCTCAACAGTGCCAAATGCACATGAAGGTTCTCTGAGACAAAGCCAGGGAGTTCAGGAGGCTCTGTTTTAGTTTTTGCTCTTAGTGGTTATACTTATTTGTGTGTTCTAATAACCCCAACCACACTTATGTACTGCTTGAGTTTACAAAATGCTTTCATGTTCCATTTAACCCTCCATACGATACTGAGATGATACTAGTAAACCCATTTTAATGAGAAGGAAATGAAGATTCAACGAGTCAAGAATGTGCCTAAGACCTATGATTTTGGAGGAAAAAAGTACATAGGATAGAAGAGGGGGTGGAGATTGAGAGAGAGAGAAATTAAAGAATTGGTTCACTCAATTACATAATTGTGGGGACTACTAAGTGAAATCCGCAGGACAGGACAGCCACCAAGAGTTAAGCACACAGTCTTAAGTCCAAAATCCACAGGGCAGGCAAGCAGGTTGGAAACTTAAGAAGGATTTCTGTTACACTTTAGAGACAGAATTCCTTTGTCTCCAGGAAACATCAGAGGTTTTTTTGTTTGTCTGCTTGGTTTTTGATTTTTAAGGCCTTTAACTGATCAGATGAGTCCCACCCAGGACGTAAGTCGACTGACTATAAATGTTAATCACATCTACAAACTACCTTCACAGTGACATCTACACAAGTCTGACTGAACCATTTAGCACTGTAGCCTACCCAAATTAACATGCTAACTATCCCAGTAAAAGCATTTGATAATATTCAAATTGCATTATTATTTTAATCTAAGAATAATTTCCGCAAACAAGGAAGAGAAGGAAATTTTCTTGACCTGATAAGAATTAAAATAGTAAAGAATGAGTATAAACTATGAGACTTTTCATGTATTAGCTCATTTAATTTTCACATCAATCTCATAATGTAAACATTCAAAAGAAGTTGAAATCATAGCTAATGAATAACACAGCTGGGATTTAGATACAGCTTCAAGGGTTGGTGTGGAAGAACTGTAGACAGAAAAAGCAAAATCTTAACTGAAGTAGCTGCCAATTTCTGAAAGATGAATTGTTGCTCTCTCAGGTGCACAGGGTCTAATGGAATCAACTTGCTAATCAGGAGACTGGATGACCCGCAATGGAGAGTCACACTAACGGCTCAGCACTGGTTCTGCTCAGCACTGCAGCAGGTGCTCTGGGCTTCTGGCAGTAGCAGCAGCTAGGACAGCCCAAGCGACAGGAAGCCCAGACAGAGTCATCATTCCTGCCATCAGGGTCTCTCTAAGGACCCCACTGTAACATCACCAGGTAGCTAAGTAGCCAGCTGATGCTTACACAAGCCATTCCATCTTCTTGGTTGTTGCATGCACCTTTGGGAGGGTTCGTATCTAGCACACAATAACGTAAGGTGAAATACGACGATTCTCTGACTTCAACTCATTCCCATAAATCCGTTTCTCTGGCTCTTCCTTAGACTTTCTTGTTTCTGCTCTTTCAGTCTTGTCTTCTCCAAGGCTGAGACCACCTAACTACTCACCACTGCCCAAATGATCACATTTAGCCATATCTAAGCCATTTATCTCTGGATATAAGGTGGGTTGATTGTAAAACAGCCAGCCAGAAGGGTTTTCCTTGACCACTGTCCTTATATTTATAGACAGGCTGTCATGCGACAGCAGAAAAACATTGAGCCAACCTCTAATTTGCCTCCTCTGTTGGTTGGTTATGTGGAGGGAGAAGCAGATTTTAGGACAAACACACCTGGCGAGGCTTCTCCATCCAGTGGGGCCTTTGCAGGGTCTGCAGGCAAGGGGGGCTGTTCTCTTCCAGGGAGGGAGCAGACACTGCTGCTTTTGGTTGTTCAGAGGAATCTGGAATTCAAGGCTATCATGTCTGTCCTTCTAAATAATCTATCCCATGTGTAAAGGTCTAGTGTTTCTTTATCTGGGTCCTGACTCTGATATCAGAGACCTGTGAGGCTGAATATGCTCCTCTTCGTAGCTGGGCTGCATGCACAATCAGCCCCTGGGCCTAGGTTTTCGCAGATGTCCTATGGCAGAGGCAGGAGGCAGCACTCTGTGCTTCTGCGGAAACTCTCAGCACTCTTTGGGCTTGATAGTTGGCTAACTAAAGGATGCCATTTTCTTTTCCGAAGTCAGTTTGTTCTTTCCTTAAAATGAATGACCACATATTTTTCTGTGTTATCACTAACACATAAGCTAATACTTCATCTTCCTCCACCGTTCTGACTCATAGCAGGAAACCTCCTAGTATTTGTGAGGTTTCTGCACACCAGCAGAAGATACCATCATCCCATTCATCAGCAGTAATGGGGTCCTTATGACTGTCTGGTTGGTCCAGTATCAAAATCTATCTGAAAAGTCTTTCTGTACGGCCATTTGTGGCACCAAGTATCTCAGCAAATGCAACAGGGTGAAGAAAAGTGTTCAGAAGCAAGGATTTATTTTGGAAGATGGTCTCAGTGAAAAAGAACAATGCCTAGGACAAACAGAACAGGGAAAGGAGGACAACTGAATTCTTCAGTAAGAAGGCTTACTGAGCTGATCAGTGCTGAGAGGAATTTCTGCTGGGGACTCTCTGATTGTGTGCTATATAATTGCAAAATTATTTATAGAAATAAATTGAAACACAGGACAATTTTTGTTGCCTCTCCTAGACTCCTGGGATGCTTACAAAATTTAAGATTTTCTGTGTCCTTGGCCATCCATTTGACACAAAGCCTACTTAAAATACATTGAGAGCTGGCTTATTTCTAGTCCCCTCTTATTTTTAGGATATTAACCTTTGGGTCTAGAATGAGGGAATTTATGAGGAGAGTACCCAGCTTGGCAAGCCTCGAAATTCAGTTCTTTGTATCCGTAGCTTCAGAAAGCCAGGAATATGGATGTCTAACTTTCAGATACCTCCTTAGCTTGGCAAATAAAAGACAAAAGTGGTTCTAAGTGCTGGGATTACCTTTTCTCAGTTAGCAACTTCTCTCTACTTCATGGTCACCATGAGGTGAACAATGTTCCCTTTCCTCCAGGATGTTCCCGCTTTGGAGCCAGCAAACCAGGGACTGAACTGTAAGCCAAATTAAACCTCTTCTCCTATGTGTCAGGTATTGTCAGTGACAGGCAGCTGACTGATACATGAGTCAATAATACATATTAATAGTAATATAATAATACACATTATATGTAATGTAATAATACATATTAAGCAGTACAGCTTCTACTTAATTCCATTCCTCACTTCATAGACTCTCACCATCTTGAAGTACTCAAATATACAAAACTCCCAATGATATAATTTGCTGTTTATAAGAAAAAAAGCAGGAAAAACAATTGTCATTGGCTTTCCTCCTACCATCTTTCAAATTACCCCAATTTAACCCCAGAACAATCCAAGGAGTTGTATCCTTAAGCTCAAACTTCAGCCTAAATGTTTCTATAACTTCCCTGTTGAGTTGTCACTTACAAACCTTTTAAAAATTAATTATTAAGGCCTTTTGCATTAGTCTTTCATTTGGCCTTCATGCAACCATTTTTCTTTCATTGTTTAACAAGTGAAAAACCACTGCATTAGTTATAAATACATGGCAGCAAATATGGGGAGGCTTATGACTCATGCTGGATTCTTCCCTAGGGCCAACTTGGTGATGACTGCATTCTGGGAAATGTATCAGGTCCACTCTAAACCTACAGGCAAATTCCAAACCAACTGCCCATATGAAGAAAATTACCTTCTTTATCAGTTTCTCTTGTTCCCCCTTTCAGTTCCAGGTACCAGAATATCTCATTCTCTTGGCTTACTGGTAAACTCTTTTATCAGTCCATCTGTCCATTCATCCATCCATCCATCCATCCATCCATCCATCCATCATTACTGAGTATCAACCACAGGCCTGATCCTGGAGGAAGAATACCAAATAAGAACATAATTACAGTGTGAGAAAGTCAGACAAATTAAATAGTGCAGTGACTTCTATCATTACAGGAACAAAATAAGTGCCCAGGAAGCACACCCAAGTGCACCAGGGCCAATTTCCAGGAAAAGATATTATCAAAGACCATCAAATGCCATCAAGAGTGAAAGGAGGATGGTGGAGCATAAGCAAAGGCACGGGTCTCAAAACAACAGTCTAGGGAACTAAACATGATTAAGAGGCTAGCTAGAGTTTGTCTGAGAGGATCACAAACGGCAACTTCATATCAATAGTCTTCAAATTGTGCACCTCAGAAGCTACTAGGGGAACTGGGGAAGCAGTTTAGCAGGTGGGTTCACATTTGTATGTTTTACTTATGGGGCTTGGCCAAAAATTATTTTTGTTCCATCACTGTGGATTGAATCCAAGGCTTTGTGCACACCAGGCAAGAGCTCTGTCGCTGAAGTACAATCCAAGCTTGAAAAGTTTCTTTTTAAATAACAGATTCCAGCTGGGCATGGTGATGCATGCCTGTAACCCCAGCACTCGAGAGGCTGAGGCAGGAGGATCACTGTGAGTTAAGAGGCCAGCCTGGGCTACATGGTGAGTTCAAGGCCAGCCTGAGCTACATAGTGAGACCTTGTCTCAAACAACAAACAAAAGGGCCGGGGATTTAGCTCAGTAGCACCACACCTGCCTCGCAAGTGCAAGGTCCTGAGTTCCCTCCCTGGTACCAAAAAAAAAAAAAAAAAATTAGATTCCATTATTTAAAAATAGTCAGATAATACCAGCTTAGATAATCATCTTTAAGCTGAGGATTTTGAATCAGATCTTCAAGTCAATGTATAACAAACAGATTGGGTGACAGAAATTAGGTCTTTTTGCTTCACTCCTCATAGGAGGGGGATACATTTGAAAATAATGTTTGGTCATTAACAATCATGATCATGAAAGAATTGCTTTAATAATGTAAGTGGAAAGAAACAAAATGCAACAAAACTGGCTGGTAGACTATGGGTTAAAAATATTGCTAAAGTGACACACAGGTACCACAGTGTGGGAGATACAGAAACTGCAGGAAACGCTTATTTGGTAGTTTACATGCCCTCTGTAACCAACACAGAATCTGCATGCAGCAGGAATTCATCATCCACACTTTTTGAAAAGTGTTATCAAAAATTTGAAAACTGAACAGTTACAACACTTTTGTCTCATGAGGCCTCAGGGCTAAAATGAGGTCTCCTGCTCCAGTTTCCTCTCTTACTTGCAAAGTCTGGCCACAAGGCTCTGATTTAGTTTTCTTTAAAAATCATGCCAAAAGAAGAAAAAATTACGTAAGTATCTATTTCATAAAACTTGCAAAGCTAGAAAAAAAGCCTTTAAAAGCCATATGAGAAGCCAGATTGGTGTGGTGGCACCTACCTGTTATCTCAGCACTCTGGGAGGCTGAAGCAGGAGGAGCCCAGTCCAGGCAATTTGGTGACTTAGGGAGACCCTGTCTCGAAATAAAAATAAAAAAGAGATAGGGATGGAGCTCAGTACAAAACTACAGTTTCAGTTCCCAGTACTAAAAAACAAACAAAAAGCCAATAAACTCTGTGAATTTTTACAGTAGCACCATCAGCAGTGGCGCTTGACAGTACCACCCAGCATCTACACCTATTCCTTCCAACCCAATTTCACATGGGTCAGTGTGCACCTACAACCAAAACGGTGGGATAAATGTGGTGACCGAGGCTCAACACATTCATGCACACAATCTGGAATCCCGTGAAGGGAAAAGGTACAGAACCCAGGCATACTGAATTCTGTCCTGGCATCTCAAAACCCTAACCCCCAGCTATCCTACATGTAGTACTCTCAAAAGGGGTTAAAAAGGTGAGTTGCTATCTCCAGAACATTTAAAACATTCTCTCATGTATGTTTACACAATTTTTGGTTTATCCTGACCTTGAGGTCACACCTGGACCTGAGTTCTGGAAAGGAGCAGAATCTGCCATCATTTCCAGGAGTCCTCAGTTTACCACACCGTCCTTGCAATTGTCCCCTTCACCCACCACTATTTCTTGTCTTGGGACTAAATGGTAGCCAGAGGCACCACAACAAGTGAGAGTTCTCTCATTTTCCAAGATGCACACACAGGCTTAACTAGGCAGGTAACCTAGTAAATGGTGACCATGTCTCTCTCTCTCCCTGGGACAATGTGCATTTTTCACTACCAAACCCTAGTTGTCCTCATGACATCCTTTAGGTCCTGTTTGTCCCCCAAAGACTAGCCTGCTCCCACTCACACAGAAGTCTTCCTTCTTTACTTCCTATGATAGCTGCTTTTCTTTACTAGATTACCGAACTTTTGGATGCTAGGTTTCCAGTGGTGTTGGTTTTGTGAAGCACATGTTTGGCAGCCAGAGATGTGTAGGACCTATTAGATTCAGTTATGTTCTCTGAGTCTCATTTTTAACTTGACAAATAAGGTTAATACCTTTTCAGGCAAAAGTGAGGACAACAATATACTTAAATAGCTGCTTCTGTCTGCCCAGCATGTGCTCAATAAATGATATTCAATAAATGTTACTGAAAAAAAGAGTGGGAACTACATCCTATTCTTGTTCCTTTTATAAGGTACAATGATTGACAAAGAACCAGATGAACATTAATCACTTTCCCTTCTTTGCAAAGGATGCAGCTCACCTCTGGTCTCAGGAAACCAAACAGGCATTTATTTCCCTTCACAATTACAATTAGCCCACTTGAGTGTCATCACAGTCAGGGTGATAGTAATACTTTTTATAAGACTCATTTACGTAACACTTAAACATGGGTTGTTTTTTTTTTTTTACATTGTCTCCTTTAGCTTCCGGAACATAGAGAAAGCTTTATATAGAAACTTGAGTTAATTGGTTAAACACTAGTAATACACCTTCACCCTAATTTACAGTTTACATGGCACATTGCCACACATGTTCTTACTTAAGATCCTACTAGTACTTAGCATTTAGTACATTTAAAATCTTTCAGGTATCAGTGGATAGTAAACTTGGGGTGATCTCTATGACTGCTACAAATAACAGAACAATTTTTAAAAGAAAATACAAATTCGGCATACTGCCACCATTGGAAGCCTGAGGTGGATTTAATGTCTTGCCCCTAGGATAAAGGGAATGAATCCCTGCAGAGGCAATGCTTACCTGGTTTGTAAAACCAGGTAAGCCTCCAGGTAAACCTCCAGCTGTAGTTCTTAGAAAGTTTCTTACTCCTGCAATTTCTCAATCTTCTGAACTTAAAATGTATGGTGTAATTGTTATATCCTTATTTTTTTGTCTCTAGAATCAACTTTTAAGTTTCCACAGTTCAAATTAAACCTGTCAGTATTAAAATACTTCCTCTAGAAAGACCTCTAACTAAACCAGAATTCAGCTTGACCTTGAGCAATTCTTTTACCAAGGCCTGTTTCTAGTTTAAGACGGTTTGTTGGAAGCAGTTGAGGTTTTTGGTACAATCATTTTGTAATCCTAAACAAAGTTGACCTAGGGAAATACACAGAAATACTAATCTCCTTTTCATTTGTTTTCAAGGTTTGCTCTTACCCTTGCGTCTTTCTTACAAACAATAAATGTTACAAATAATCTTTCGCCCCATTTTCCCCTAGAACTCACTGCTATGCTTAAGTTTGTGGCTGTTCTCAAACTACTGTTTTCAGTAAATGCTTATGTGTATGCATAAAGTTGTGATTTTGTTTTTAATACATACATATTTACTCTTAACAACTGTTTTATTTTAGGTTTGGGGGATTGAACCTAGGGCGTTAGCACTCAGCTACATCCCTAGCCCTTTTTACTTTTTTGTTTGGAGGCAAGGTCTCACTAAATTGAGCTCCTGATCCTCTTGCCTCAGCCTCCCTCGGTGCTGGGACTACAGGTATGTGCCACTGCACTGGGAAAATAGTTCTCAGTTACATAAATGCTATCATACTGTACTATCCTTCAGTCATTTTTTTTCTCCTTTTCCCCACTTGAATCAAATTGAGATTTATTCATGTGGATATTCATTCTTTTCTATGATTTCATTGTATATAAATAATGTTATTTATTCATTAGATTGTATTTCTGCAGGGTTTGGAAATGTCTGTAAAGGACCAAAGTATTTTAGGTCTTGCAGGGCACCTGCAGTCTCTATTATAATTTGTGTACGTGTTTCTGTAATTCCTTTTATTTTTGTGTCAAGGTCCCCAAGACCACCGTTGAGTTCAATGACTCACAGAAAAGTGATTAGTTTAATAACCAAAATCCACAAGTATAGCTTAAAATCTGCAAAGGTAAGACGCACATAGAGCATCGTCAGTAGTTTTTAAACCTCCCTAAATGGTGTGGGATGTGCATGGAATACTGTCAACCAAGAAATGAGATTGGGGTCCAAGATTCTTACTGGGGTCAGTCGTGTAAGCACTGAGAACCCACGCAGGTGCCTGGCTACTGTGTTCAGCTTATCAATGCATCTGGTTGACAGAGCAAGGTGCAGTGCCCCCGCCATAAATTACTGTTCACACAAACTACCTGAGGCAACCCAAGGCCCCGGGTAAACAAAGGCACTTGTACCAGGCAGGATACTCCCAGGGCTTAGAGGTGATCTTCCATGAGCTGCCTGAGGGCCAGACCTTTCCCGGAACTCCAAGGGCTTGAACATGCCAGATCTGCTAGGTCAACCCTTCAGTGCACACATGTCAAAACCATTCTTAGCTCAGGCACCAGGGACTTGATTTAACTAGAGACACCAGTGCCGGGGTCATTTAAGTTACATTTTCCCTTGCTATTTTAAATACTGCTGTAAAAAACATCTTTGCACATATATATGACGTGTGTGTGTGTGTATATATATGACATATATATAATATCTTGTTGGAAAAAGTGACAAAGATACCTTCTTTCAGAAATAAAGACAGGAAATTGGAAATAAAATCTGATTTTCCTTAAAAGAAACTAGTTTATAATAAAGCTCATGACCAGAATCCCAAAATCATTTATTTAGAGGTAGAAGCAGGTTATAAAATCTCAGCCTTTCTTAATCAGGACACTGAATTTATGATCTAGTAAAATAAATTACAGCAAAAATCTCAAAAATATTACATCTGAGCCTCATATATACTCTATCATAATTAACAGATTGCTCTGTTGTTTCTCTATTTCTTATGAAGAGAAAGGACCCCCCCTCTCCCTTACTGGGGATCAAACTCAAGACCTTGTGGTTTCAATCCAGGCATGGCGCCACTGAGCTAAATCCTCAGCCAAGAGAAAGAATTCTAATCAAACTGTTACTACACATACTTTCTTTGTATGGATGTCAAGGTTATGGAATAAGGCTTAGATAACTGTAGAAAGTACAATGTGACCAAAATAGGCATTTTTGGTAGCACACAAACTGCATTAATACCTTCAAATGTAGCTGCATTTAAAACAAAATATTGGGAGTCTTTTCTATCTATAGCTAAGATTTGGTTTTACAATTTTTAAAAATGTGATTTTCCAGTTTGTGGAAAAGGCGATTCAGTCTGTCTCTTGTTATAATCATCTACCAGAAATTTCAAGTGTTCTCTCAATTTATAAACCTAGACACAATGCACTTTAGTTCTGTACAGACAGATGCTGAACTGCTGTTATAAGCAATACAGAATTCTAACTTTACCAAGGCAATGAAAAATGTACGAATTTTCTCAACATCTTTGCCAACCCCTGTATTTCTGAGCATGAAATACCATTTAATTGTAGATTTGCAGTTTTTTGATTAGTAAGCTAAAGCATTTTGTGCTAATTCATCTGTTGGTTCTCTGGTGTTTTTTCATTTGTTTTTTATTGTTGTTTTTTGTGGTATTGGGGATTGAACTCAGGACCTTGCACTTGCGAGGCAGGTGCGGGCACCACTGAGCTAAATCCCTGGCCCTGGTGTTTTTTTATATAGGCCTTAATTAACCCTTGATAAAACTTTTACTTCGTTAAGTTTCTGGTAAATACAAGTACCTTCCAAATCATGGGTTTCTTTTTAAAAAATATTTTGCCGTACTTAAGTTTCTAACCTTAATACAGTCAGATATACCAATCTTTTTCTTTATGATTTATACTTTTGCCCATTTCAACAAATCCTTAAATTGGATAAAAATTTTCTTGTGGATCCTTCTAAAGTATTTAAATTTTTTAAATATTTGTCTTTAATTCATCAAATTTCTTTTGACTATGTTGAAAAAAATGTTTTTCCCCCCACATGGACAGGCGATGGTCCTAGTGCCACTTATTGAAGCCATTCACATCCCCACTGGTGGCCACGTTCAAGTTTTCATCACACATTTCTAGCTCTATGTGCCTATCGTTGCCTCACTAAGGCTGTTTAATCATTTTGACTTTTTGTATCGTTTTTAGAAGGGATTTTGCTATACTGCCCAGGCAGGCCTCAAACTTTTCATCCTCCTACCTCAACTTCTGGAGTAGCTGGGATTACAAATATCATTTTAGTTTTATAATAAATCCTGCTGTCTTGAATGAGGGGAGCTTGTACTCCTCTTCACCCCTTTTAAAAGAATTGTCATGGCTATGTCTTTCCACGTTAGGCTAGGTATTTAAAGTTCCATTAAAAATTTGAGAATGTGATTGGAACTTCAGGAAATTTATACATGGGTGGCTGATGCTTTAATATATTGGTTCTTTTCCTCATACTTGGGACACTCCTACATTTATTTTGGTCTACTTTTACAAAGTTCTTGCACATTTTAATTGGATATATATTAGGTCTCTCAAAACTTTTATTGTGAATGAAATTCTCTTAAATATTATACTTTCAAATAAAATGCAGGAACAGTATTATTCTTACAAATTGATCTTAAATGTCAAAATCCTAAACCTTCACTTCAGTAATACTTGGTAGTTTCCCTTGGATTTCCAAATAAACAATTACTTTGTGCATTAACACTGCTTTTCCCTTTCCAATCTTTGCACCTGTTTCCTCTTCTAGACCCATTCCACTGTCAAGATCTCCCATGCAGTATGGACTACAGGTATGAAAGCCATTCCTGCCCTACTGCTGACTTACAGGAGCAGCCCCAAAGTACCGTTCACTTGTGATGTTAATCTTGGGCTTCTGATAAGGTTTTCTTTCACCATATTAATAATATTGCTATTAAGAGGATGTTTTGTTTCCTTGACTTAGAAAAATGAAGAATGAGTGTGATGATTGCATTTGATTTTCCCCATTGCATTCAGTGAGATGGTGACATGGCTTTCCCCTTAATTTGTTAACATGGCATATTACATAAGACTCTCAATGTGAAACCATCCTCCTTTTCTGGCAATTAATCTTGTTTAGTCACAATGAATGTTAATTGGTGAATCTGAAATGCTAATACTAAACTACTTCAGTTGTGTTCATAAGAGACCTGCTTATAATTTTTTCTCTCACATCTGCTTGATTTGTCAAAACAGAGCTTTCCTTATTTAAAAAGATTATTTGCTTCTTGAAGTTTTGACACATCTCACTATAGCCATCTAAATCCGGTGGATTACTTGAGGGCAGATTTATATAATATTCAGGTTGGCAACATCTTGATTTCTCCAACTATGGTATTATTTGACATATTTTAAATTTCTTTTGGCACATATAGACTTACGATCCTTACATGTTTTGCATATTCTTTTATCTCTAATAATGCTTAAGTTTCTTTGGCTGATATGCCAGTCACATTGTCTATTATTTGGTTATTTTCTTTGTGTATCTTTCCTGATGCATTTACTTACCACCTGTGTGTTCCTTTATATTGCAGTGTCATTTGTGAGCAGTGTATACAGTATATTTCTCAGCCTAACTTTTCAACTTTTAAAAAAAAACTTTATTGGTACATTTTAGGTATACAATATGACATTCATCACTAGAAATTTGCACCTTTACATAATCTCTCTTGGTTTTTTCCCCATTCCCCTGCCCTCCCTTCAACCCCTCCATCCCTCCCTATTTACAAAGACTTGGTTTCCAGTTTTTCATTTTCTCATATTGATTCCATTCCTCCTCTTTCCTTTCCCCTACCCCTCCCACTTCCCCTTTGCCCCTTTCCTATTTCACATTATCTATTAAATGTCTGTTCATTTCTGCCCATTTTTGGATTGGGTCTTTAAATCTGGGAGGTCTAATTTTTTTAAGTTCTTTATAGATTTGAGATAGTAGACCTTTGTCTCAGGGACAGCTGGTGAAAATGGGTTGTCTCTTCACACTGTTGGAAGTTTCTCTTGCTGTGCAGAAGCTTTTTAGTAAGAAGAGATTGCACATGTTCATTGTTCCTTTTTAACTTTGATTCAAGTATCATTTACAGTGTTTGATTTTGTATTATGCAACTTGTTTTGACTTGTTTTGTTTTTTCTTTTAAATAATTATACCTCTATTAAATTGTTATATACACATTGTTATTCTTTTAGTGCTTAACTTAGAGGTCATAACATGTACTCTTGATTTCATAGTCTAATAAAAGTAGTTTATCACTTACTCAATGCTAGAACCTTGGAGCATGAATTTCCACTTATCTTCCTGTCCTTTGTTATTGTATGGTACATTTTAATTCCATAGATATTTTAATCCAGAGTTAATACTGCCGATACCCATTCATTCACATTTTCTCACATATTTGCTATTTCCATTGCTTTTCCTTTACTCCTCCTTTTCTGGGTTTCACTTGGAATCATTTTGCTTCTTCTGAAGAACTTCAACCTGAGTGAACACCTCCTGGATGCACTCATTTTTCCCTTAAGTCTTTATTTTGCCATCATTTTCATAGTCTGACTTCATCTTCCTTATCTTGAATGTGGGCACTGCTGCCGCCAGTGTTTGGCTGTAAGGCCAGAAGCCACACAGTAGTGCACCGTAAAGAACAGAAAACACCTGCAGCCCACTGACTGTGGAGGTACTGTATTGAACACCTCCAGTCTATATCTGAGAGAAAAGCAAACCTTAAGAATTTAAGCCATCACTTTTGTTCTGTTCCCACTGATAAGTGTCATTTCTGATAGGTCTGGGGTCTTCTTGGCTATTTAAGCCTCCAATATAACCGTCATCTGTAATTTACATGTACTCAGCATACTTAGTGTTGTACACATATCCCACAAAGACTTCATTTAGATCCTGGAGCACTCTTCATTAATGAAGAAAGTACAGGATGACGAACCTTGCGTTCTTGGCAGACAATCAACTAGCTACTCAAACCCCTAAAAAAGTGTTAAGAGTAAAATGCCCCAAACTAAGCTTTGATTCTATTCAAAGTGACCGTGTGCCCAGCAAAAGAACTATACTTCTTGGCCTCTGTTACAGATAGTGGACAGCCAGGAAATAACGAGACAGAAAGGGGACATTTCTGAGAGCTTCCTCTTTGTGATATACATAGCTCAACTTTTGGCTTCCCTTTCCCACTTCCTCCGGTCTTTATTAAGGATGTAATGAGTGGCAATGACCAAAGCCAGGTTGAAAACTATGTGACAGTTTTAAAAAGTAAGCCCTCTGTCTCTTAAGCTACTGTTACATGGTTTTCTGTCACACCGAAGCCTAATTTGATCACTGATAAGACTTTGAAAAGCAGATCAAATGAGGAAAACACAAAACAAGGTTAGAAGAAAACGTTTATTTATCCAAAAAGTATGAAATCAGTAAACATTGAGGAGAAATTAAAAGTAGTCCATTTTAAGAGGTTGTTTTAAAACATGGTAACTGGGAATAAAGTGGACAAAACTCTTAAAGGTAACATAATACAGTTTATCTGCTATGATCATTAGTTTAAAAGGCATATCTAGTAACCAATTTTATTTGTCAATAACCTTGAGGATCGTTTTCTCTATACTTCCAGCTTTCATAAGAAAATGAATTAGAGACTTTGATGGTTCTAGTGTTTTCAGCTCATGTCTCAAATTCTCAGTGACCTAACTGCAAGACAGTAGTGTAAAGGAGAGACTTGCCCTCTTTGATTCAGAAAACAAGTCTTTAATTACACAACTAAACTGTTAGGTATGCCTTTGCCATTTGATATTTGTGACTTCCCTGCAACATTAGCATAATGGAATTAAAATACAGCAGTCACCATTTAACATTTTAGTTCCGTTTAGAGAATCAACTAATTTAAACAGTATTTCTAGCAGCAGGAAACAACTTTGTATGTGGTAAGATAACTTAGTTTCTCTCAATTTTTTTTTTTTTGGTACCAGGGACTGAACTCAGGACCTTGTGCTTGTGAGGCAGGCAGTGGCACCACTGACCTAAATCTCTGGCCTTTGGCTTCTCTCAAATTTAATGGGTACAGTATTAACCAAAACTAACTCCATTCTAGAAATATTAGAGTATCTTTTATTTACCAGGTGCAGTACTAGTACAGTACATTATCTCATATTAAACATTATTCACCAAACAACAATAAACCCCACTCTGTAGTCAGAGATAATACAGCTTGATTAGTGTCATATGGCTAGAAAGTAACAGGGCTATAACATGAACCCAAGACTTTTAATTTTATGAATCCAAGACTTTTAATTCCAAAATTAACACTTTTCTATAGTATTGTTATGCTGGCTTATACAATTTCTGATCACAGTACTTTCATTAATGGAAAGTTTCCTTCATTTGGCAGTCACTTCATTACTTTCTTATTATATGGAAATAAGTGTGAGGAAGGAAAGAAAAAAATATGATTCAAGAACATGACTGGATATTTTTAGAACATTTCTACTTGTTACTGTTGCTCCAGAATTATCTTCCACTGAGAAGGGGAAAGAACCTCATTTAAAAATTATAAAAATGGGGCCGGGGATTTAGCTCAGTGGTTTTGCCGCCTGCTACGCAAGCCCAAAGACCCAAGTTCGATCCCCGGTACCAAAATAATAATAATAATAATAATAATAATAAAAAAATAATTTTTAAAATGTACCATGTTGGACAATGAACTTATGGAGATGAATAAAACCATCTTTGTCCTCAATGGGCTCACTATCTAAGGAAGAAGGTAAACACGAAGATGAATCTGTGGTAAGCTTAGCACCAGCCACTATGCTAGCAACTTAACATTGTGAACACAAGGCACACGGATGGCAGAGAGATCAACTCTACCTGAAGGTCCACAACTAACACCATTCGGGCTCGAGGCTTAAACTGAGTTTTCAAGAATGGGTTATTTCCAGAGTGGCAGTGAGCTAAGTGATTTATCTGGATTCTCTATTCAAATCCTCAGTATAATTTGTGATAGGTAACTTTACAAATGCGTTCAGGTGGTTTAGTCTAGAACTCACTCTGCTGAATACTATAACCTACTGACACACACAAGTACACATAAAATTAAAAACTAGAAGTAGTCACATAGGACAAGGACTTTACAAGACTATAACTCTTTCACTTACATACAAAAAATATGGGACCAGAATGCTTTAAAAATTAGTAAAAGGTCACATAGTAAGATAGAGATCTCATTTATTCTGTCTGTTGTAGGATCACTTTATCCTAAAAAATAAGGTCTTTGCTTTTGCCTTCAATGCTTTCAAATAATTTATCAGCACTAAAAGCTATTTCAAATTACTTATCAACTTACTGGAGGAAGAAATCATTAAATGACTATAGCATAGGAACACAGGATTTAATAGGGTTAACTCAATGGAACTAGCTAATATTTAAAACAACATGTTTACTATAAATATCAGTGTTATACATGCAACACGCTGGCAACACTGAGAAACAAGTAAAACAAGTTTGTCAACTTTTATATTACCTCTTACATATTCAAACTATTCCATACAGAATAAGCAGAAAGCATGAATCAAATCCTAGTATATCCAATACAACCTTAGAAAAGATTTCTCTAATATAATGGGTTCTGATCAATCCCAAACACTATCTCTAAAACTTGATACTCGGAATTCTATTGTCCTTTGTGTTACAACATCACAGTACGGCCTGGCCCAAGGTGAGATTTCTAGGCACTCTGGTTAATCTTCTCTGATGTCAATACCTGAGAGTCTTCTTGAGTACCTACCTTCTAGAAGAGCTGCTTGTAACAGGCATAGATTTTTTTTTTAACGTATAAAAACACTACACACTATCTTACCTATTTAGTTTGAAGCTACAGGTTTGAGTATTTTCGTGAAACAAGTAACTTCCTTAGGATCATAATTAAAAACTCACTCTCACAACATGTGCAGTATTTAAAATGTATTTTACCTTAAATATTCAAGGTGAATGACTTTTAAGATTGACTAAGATACACATACAATTCAGGGGTAGACTCTAAGGGAACTCATATGAAGCAGGGAACAGGAGAAAAACCAGTGTTTAGTGAATACCTTTGTTGACAGCACTATGCTGTGTCCTTCACAGTTTGTTGATCTAATCAGTACTAACAACCTGATGCAGTGGTTTTTTTTTTGGTACCGGGGATCAAACTCGGGTCCTTGTGCTTGAGCAGCAGGCGGGGAAACCACTGAGCTAAATCCCTGGCCCGAACCTGACATAGTTTTGTTTTGCTTGCTTTTAACCAAGAACTATCCAGAGAAGTTAAACAACTTGGACAAGGTCACACCCACGTCAGATGATGGAGCCCAGATTAGACTGGAGAGCTGATTCTCAAGTGTATGCTCATGATACGGTGAATAAATATTTGGTGGAATCTCTGGTGTGAAAAGAGTGCATTTTGTAAGTCAATCAGGTTGATTGGTGCCTGGGGTCCCCTAGAGAGCTTCAGGATGGGAACTGGTGGGTGAGAAAGACCAAGGCATAATTAGTTGAGACTTTCAACCTCACCTACCAATTTCTGTTATCACCAATGGCCAACGATGTAATTAATCATGCAGAATGTAATGAAGCCTCTATAAAACTCAGAAGGAGGGGGTTCAAATGAGCTTTCAGGTGGCTGAACATGTAGAAGATCCTGGAGGGTAGCAAATCCAGAGTATAAAGCTGTGTCCCTTTCTACTATCTGGTCCTATACGTCTCCTCCTCCCCCTGTCCATCTGTATCCTGTTTCGTCCTTTATAATAAGTGGGTAAATGTGAGTAGAGCCTCTCCCTGAGTTCTGTGAGCTGTCCAGACAATCAGTCACACCTGACAAGGGGTCATGGGAAATTTTATAGTCTGCTGGTCCGAAGCAGACCACAATCCATGCTAGCAACTGGCATCTGAAGTGGGAGGCAGTTTTGTGGGACCTGTCTCTCAACCTGTGGGATTTGACACTATCTTTAGGTCAGAAATGAGCTGAACTGGAGGACACACTGCCGGTGTCCACTAAATAATCTGCAGACAAAAATTTCTTGTTGGTGTGGAGAAATCCCCACACACATTTGGTGATGGAAGTATGTTAAATGCTGTGTGGTAATAGGAACAAAAAGCACTTTACTTCTGCTTTTTTTTTTCTTTTTTTGTTTTGTTTCTTCTCAAGACAGGGTCTTACTTGGTAGTCCCGGCTGGCCTTGAATTTGCAATCCTCCTCTCTCAACCTTCTGAGTGCTAGGATTATAGGGGCAGGCTCAAGCCTGACTCTTCCCTTTATCTGTAATATTCCTTCCATTGCATCACATTGCCTCCTCAGAAAAAGCCCTGGGAATGAGAAAGGACCTCTGCTTTAACATGTGTCACTTGATTCACTTGTGGTGATGATGATGAGGTAAGAAGAGGAAAGAAAAACATTATGAGAAAATATTTAAAATTTAGTTTGGCCATACATAAATAGCAGTCATTCTTCAGAAGGACTTCTACCATAAGTCTAATTACTATGGAACACAATGATACTTCCTGTATCATTAATAAACATGTATGTATGCAAGCATGTGTTTACTCAATGTTTTAGGTGATTCTGACATTAATTAATTTCTGTATATATTCAGTGTACATTTAATATCCAGGTCATAAGGTCTTCTGGGCATCAAAATATGAAACTGTATCAAGTCTGGAGATATATCATCACTGTACTTAACATAAAAATATTGGTTTGGGAAATTTCTAACTTTTCAACCAAAAAAATTCCACAAAAGTACTTTTTTCCCCTGGGAAATTTGAATTCTTATAAAATTTGCATGGAGAACAAGGAGCAAAAGAACTTTCTCAAGTCACTTTTAAAAAACAAAGCAAAATAGCCCAAATCTTGATTTTAAATATTTTTAGATAAAAAGGGCAAATATCAAACATAATTTCATGAACTTTATAGAATCACTCTGAAATAAAACAAATGTTCAACTTTTAAACCAGTTATAATTGCACCTGAACAGTCCACAGAAGTAGTTGAACAGGTTCTACTGCTAAGATTCTGATTCATGGAATAGTTCGTATATTAAATTGTAAAAATACCCTCGGGACCAGTTCTTTCCTATAAAATTAAAGGATGTTAAGGTTAATAAGGCAAATTAATATAAAAAAGTAATCCTGATTTATATGCATAGAAAAATGCTAAACCACAGTTACCAGTAGTCCAAAACAAACAAACAAAAAACCACAATAAAGCAAAACAAAACACCATGAAACTGCTGGTTTCATCATGTTACCTGTGGTAGCTTTGTGGAAGATTTAATTTAAAATAAAAATAAAAATACTTCTCACTTTAACCCTAGAATTTGAAACAAAAGTATTTCTGGTCTTTAAAAAACTGTCAATATTAAGTCATTAGCAATGATAAGAGGGTACATTGTTGCTTATTATAATTTTGCATAATTTTGGGACTTATTTATGAAAATGATTATTTTTAAAAAAGAAATATAACTAAAAGATACACTATTATATCACAGATTCCTCCATCTTCAATGACAAATACTGAAGTTCACAGACCACCTTTAGAACCATAAAATTTTACTGGAAAACAAAGAGATGAAAAAGTATAATGAAATAGGAGAGAAACTGAATAATTTATGCACAATACTTAGCAACACAGAAAAGAGTTTAATTTCAGAACATATTTTAAAATTATTGAAGGAATTCAACTTTATATTATGTTCCTACCAGTACTATTAAATAAGAAATGGCAATTTAGTAAACAAGGAGGAAAATGAAGACATTTTACATTTACTCAGATTCTGTAACATTTAAAACTAACAAGCACATGTTAATCAGTATAAACTCTCTCAAAATTCTAATAAATGTGGTTTAAAGGGAGAAGAGAAGGAAAAAAGGAGGAAAAAGGGGGAAAAAGAAAAGACAATGAAAAAAGGGGCTCAAGAGTTAGACGGAACAGGGAGGGAGGGCAGGCGTAGGGTATGGAAAAGAAAAGGAAGAATTAAGATGTACTGTGTACATGTACCAACTCCCCATGATAAATGTAATCATGTACTGCAAACATCAAAAAATACTCTAAGGTTGAGGTGTAAGGGTAGGGGTCAACTCACCATAACTAGAATGTATCAATGTATTAATTCATACAAGAGCAATATTTTTCATTTAAATATAATTACAACAGCTTCATGTATAGGCTAAGCCAGAGAGTGAGGCAAATCTGATGGCCCATTATTGAAGATTCTATTATACAGTAAGATATAATTTAAAGATATAAACATAGGACCATTAAACAAGAGAACAGAGCAAGGAATTAAACAATAGAATTAGGAATTTTAACCTACAGGCCATCTGGTAGCTTAAACTTCATGTATATGTATATGTATATATATTTTTTCACATTTGAGATATGAAAAATTCTATATTTTATGCACTGAACTTCAAAAGTAAATTGATGGAGAATATGCCTAATTTGAAAAAGATACTTTACAGTCCCTTCTTAATAACAAAGAAAATAGTAAGAAATTATTTTACTGTTTATAGAATAAAACTAGACACAACATTCACCTTCTAGGGCAAGGCTCCATGTCTTTATTTCACATTTTAAAAAATATGAATTTCTTGTAACATATAAGACATATTCCACAGTAGCACCAAGTATGAGATCTAATTCTGGATTTAGGTACAGGAAAGAGTTTATAGACATTTGCCAAGCTGCTGGAATAATGTGTATTTTTTATGTAATTTTAATTTTGTAGTTGTTTTGCTTTCTACATATACAGAATGTGAATGAATGGGTTACCAAAAAATCAAAAAGGCTGATTTCATGAAAACTGAAATAGGAAACTATATAAAATTAGTTTTAAAATTCAGTAGAGTATTTTTAAAAGCCAAATGTGAAACATTGTGTAGACCAAACAATATTATTAAGTATTAGCTTTATCTTAAAATTATTTACAAATGTATGACACCACTTCAGTGTCATTTATTATGAGCTTAGTATGTGCTGGGATTTATTTTGAACACTTTACTAATATTAACTCATTTACAATATATTAATTCACGTGGCCTCAACAATTTTATCAGGTACTATTATAACCCACCAGGCCAAATTGAGGAAAATGGGGCACAGACAAATTGTAACTCTCCAAAGTAATGGTCAGGGTATGAGCTTTAGAAGCTGGGTTTCAAGACTCCACCACTAAATCACAGTGACAGCAAAGAGTCAGAACTATTCCTATTAAAGCAAAAATTAGCATAATATTTACTGCTAAAATAATAACAAGTTATATCTACTTGGAACTACAGGAACTACTTAGTGACTACCTAAATGTAATCAGCATTAACAATAAATAGCATTTACTAAATACTTAATATGTACTAGTGAGCCACTTTATAGTCAAGTCAATCCATACAACGACCATATTTTGCAGATGAGAAAACCACAATGGCACAAAACAGTTCCTCCTCCTCCTCCAAATCCCAGGGCAATTTCACTGATAAATCCAGAGGGCAAGAAAAGTCTGAAGTCAAAGTTCAAGCTTCTTAAAGCACACTGCAATGCCTATAAATGCGACCTCGACCATAAGGACATTCTTTGGTCCAAATTTCAAGAGCCTTATGTCAGAGATTTAATAACAAACTTGAAAAGATGTAACAATAAATTTTAGGGTAATTACATTAAAAAAATCAAGCCTCTGTCTACTGTTCTTGTCAAATCACTTATCAATGTTGACTGGTTGACATTCCAAGTCAGCTGAAGTAAACACCCACCTCCCAGCCAGTCCATGTGTTACAGCTGAGTGTAGGATGTTTACATGAACTGAAACTCGGTTTAAAGCAGAACTTGGGAAACTCTTTGTTAGGTTTACATGGGTTCTTTACGCAGGACTCAAAATTATATCAAGGTGCATATGATGAATATTTTTTTCCTAAAAAGACAACTTTTTGTATTTTTTTAGACTCTATCGAAAAAAGAATATACGTAACACAGTGATCCACAAATGAAACAAGAGTGAACTCTTCAGGTATCTTGAGATTAAGCATAGGATCCAAGGAAAAGGCAGGAGCTTATTGTTTGTACTGAAGGAATTTATGGCAAAGGATGCAGATATCCTGCAGCTGTCCATATCTAGGTGCAACTGATTTTACAGGCTTTCATCTTCTTAGATCCTTACCTTCCAAACAACTGAACTTGCATTAATAGGAACATTCGATGGACAACATAATTCATCAACCACCCAGTTTTCCTCAAACTGACTGCTGTTTGGGGTGAATGACAGTTAATAAAGCATTCCCGAAGAGCTCACCCACCGCTCTTCTCCCTCACCCCTAACCATACCTCTTCTCACTTCAGTTCATTTCACCTCAGGCACATCTTCCCCACACTCTGACCTCTTCCCACTTT